TTCATGCCTTCACCGATTTCACCACTCCAGTTCCTTCACAACCTTCACTACTGTCTAAGCAATAGGGAGGAAGAACGGAAGGGGCAATTTCAGGTCTTTACAAATTTTACCACTTCAGTTCGTTCACAATCTTCACTACCGTTCAAGCCAGGGGGGTGGAGGATGGAAGGGAATATTTCAGGCCTTCACAAATTTCACCACTTCAGTTCATTCACAGTCTTCACCACCGCCCAAGCAAGGGGGGTGGAGGATGGAAGGGGCAATTTCATGCCTTCACTGATTTCACCACTTCAGTTCCTTCACAACCTTCACCACCGTTCAAGCAAAGTGGTGAAATTCGTGAAGGTCAGAAATTTGTGAAGGCCTGAAATTACCCTTTCCGTCCTCCCCCCCACTTGCTTGGACAGTAGTGAAGGTTGTGAATGAACTGAAGCGGTGAAATCAATGAAGGCATGAAATTGCCCCTTCCTTCCTCCTCCTGTTGCTTGGACGGTAGTGAAGGTTGTGGAGGAACAGAAGTGGTGAAATCCGTGAAGGCCTGAAATTACCCCTTTCATCCTTCACCCCCCTTGTTTGGACGGTAGTGAAGATTGTGAATGACTTGAAGTGGTGAAATTTGTGAAGGCCTGAAATTGCCCCTTCCATCCCCCCCCCTTTTGCTTAGAACGTAGTGAAGGTTGAGAAGGAACTGAAGTGGTAAAATCGGTGAAGGCATGAAATTGGCCCTTCCGTCCACCCCCCCTCTATTACTTGGATGATAGTGAAGGTTGTGAAGGAACTGAAGTGGTGAAATCCGTGGAGGCCTGAAATTGCCCCTTCCATCCTCCACCCCCTTGCTTGGACGGTAGTGAAGATTGTGAATGAACTGAAGTGATGAAATTTTTGAAGGTCCGAAATTGCCCTTTCCGTCCCCCTCCCCTGTTGCTCAAACGGTAGTAAAAGTTGTGAAGAAACTGAAGTGGTGAAATCAGTGAAGGTATGAAATTGTTTCTTCCATCCTCCACCCCCCTTGCTTGGACGGTAGTGAAGACTGTGAATGAACTGAAGTGGTGAAATTTGTGAAGGCGTGAAATGTTCTCTTTCATCCTCCACCCCCTTGCTTGGACGGTAGTGAAGATTGTGAACGAACTGAAGTGGTGAAACTTATGAAGGCCTGAAATTGCCCCTCTGTCCTTCCCCCCTGTTGCTTGGACAATGGTGAAGGTTGTGAAGAAACTGAAGTGGTGAAATCGGTGAAGGCATGAATTTGTCCCCCCCCTCTTCCCTCCTGCATGGACGATAGTGAAAGATGTAAAGGAACTGTAGTGGTGAAATCGGTGAAGGCATGAAATTGTTCGTTTCATCCTTCATTTCCCTTGCTTGGACGGTAGTGAAGATTGTGAACGAACTGAAGTGGTGAAATTTGTGAAGGCTTGAAATTGCCCCTTCCAGACTTCACCCCCTTTGCTTGGACGGTAGTGAAGATTGTAAACACACTGAAGTGGTGAAAGTAGTGAAGGTCTGAAATAGCCCCTCGCCTCTCCTTTCTCTTGGTTTGGACGATGGTGAAATATGTGAAAGTACTGAAGTGGTGAAATTAGTGAAGGTCTGAAATTGCGCCTCGGACCTTCTTTCTCTTGGATTGCACGATGGTGAAAGATGTGAACGTACTGAAGTGGTGAAAATAGTGAAGGTCTGTAATTGTCCCTCGGACTTCCTTTCTCTTGGTTTGTACGATGGTGAAAGATGTGAACGTACTGAAGTGGTGAAAGTAGTGAAGGCCTGTAAGTTGCCTCGCCTAGGTGAAATTAGTGAAGTCTTGAAATTGCCCCCTCCTTCCTCTCGAGACCCTGAAAGTTGTGAAAAATGTAAAGTGGTGAAATTGGTGTAGGTCCCTCCCCAAAATTGCCTCGTCTAGGTGAAATTAGTGAAGTCCTGAAATTGCCCCCTTCCTCCCCTTGAGACCCTGAAAGCTGTGAAAAAAGTGAAGTGGTGAAATTAGTGTAGGTCCCTCTCCTAAAATGCCTCGCCTAGATGCATTTAAACTACTGAACAACACAACCTCACAACCCCCATTCATTATTGCAGCTTCCTTTTTCATCATGAAGAACACATCCCCCACCCTGAATTCAGGCCAAACAAAACACAACAAAATTCTCACTTCACATTTTTCATCCTTGAAATTTCAGGTAGGTGATAACCACTTGTGCGATGCATCTGCGTTCCACAAGCCTCCCGCGTCTCACATTGTCACCACGTTCAGCCGCGGCAAGTCCTGTACCCACCGTAGCGTCCTGTTTGACTTAATAAAGCAAAACCAAGGAGACACGTACGATCCGTCGGAATAGCTAGGAACCTGAGTACGCATCTTGCCATGTAGATAATCCACCACCATCTTCTCCTCATAAGGATTCGGATATCGCGCGCCCCTTAGATTCCACGGCTCGTGTGGGACCGTGTGGATCCGAATCATCGGAATTTTGTCCACATCCAGCCTCCCATGTTGATCATCATTAAAGGCGTATGCGCGATGCCTCTTCTGCATCAATCCCACCATGAAGGCCTTCTCTTGGGGTGAAAGGAAACCCGGTTCTCCAACTATCAACTTCCCTTCATGCTCATCGTTGATATGGCATGAACCATTCCACACCTGTTCTCACATACGCCGTATCAATCCTCGTTCCCGCTCGTAGTATGCCTCCTCGTCTTCAGTAACGAGTACGGGAACTGAATGTCACTTTTTATCTACCGTCTTGTACCGCCTTTGGGAGCCCTGCTTAAGCCGTCCACTAAAAAAAGCCGGCTTGTTGTTTGTGCTTGCGCCATCGCAGAACCTCCTCTTCCACCGGGGAGTCGATAGATCAATTTCACTTTCCCTACCTGAGGATCTTCTATGATTTGCTCCCTAAGTGCCTTGATTGCCTCCGGATCCGCCATTTCATGTGCCGCGACTATCTCCATTGCCTTGTTTACGTCTGTGAGGCTTAGCGACAACACCTCTATTCCTCCTTCCTCCTCGGACTCTTCCCAAAGCCTCCGCCGCTCATTCTCCGATTCCTCAAGGGTGAATGAGCCGGGATTAGGCCTATTCCTCTCGCTCCCTGGACCTGTGTTCCGGCAGGTGATAACTTCATAGTTCCCACACGCCGGATCACTCATGTGCAGTATCATCATTCCATCGTGCTTATTGAAGATCAAAGTCTCCGTCCTGCACAGGAACGATCTTCCCGGGAGGATAGGGTGATCCACGTCCGGCATGACGAAGAAGCAAGTTCTCACCCGTACCTTACCAATTTCCATGATCACATTGGATGCCGTACCACAAAAAATTGCCTTGCAGTTAACTCCATGCAGTACACCATGGTCCGCGCGATCAATCTCCAATCCCAGCATAAGGGCATCCCTTTCCCTGATAATATTCATCTCAGCACATGTGTCCACCATTGCAACACACTTCTTCTCTTTGACCACTAAATCCACCAACTCGCATGTCGCGCACTTCCAGTCCATCCTTGTTTCGGCTTCAGTCCATCCTACCTCCCTTTGTAGGATCGTACTCAGATGGATGTTGGGCACTAACCTCCGGGATAACCGTCCCTTCAAACCATCTCGGAGTCTCGGGGCGGACGCCAGGATATCCTTCCGGTTCATGAGGTCGTTATGACCTTCAAGGAGCCTTTCCACCATTCTTTCTACATCAAAGCCTTCTTCTAGCCTGACTGCATACTTCTTTTTCTTAGGTACGCTTTCATGCTGGCTTGGCTCGGCTTCCTCCTGGATCCCTCTATTCTTAGCCCTTAATTCCGTTCGCCGATCCTCCTCCTGTCGGAGTCTCTCGTCCTCCGCGTCATCATCCTCCTCTTCCTCGGAACCTCCACCACTTATTTCCTACGCTCGGGCTCAGGTCCCTTTCGAAGAGGTGCCTGACTCGGCGCTTGACTAGTGCCAGCCTTACTTTGGCTCCTGGTTTGCGCCACCTGTGGTGCCCGCCCATGCGAGGTGGGTGGCCTGAACGTCATCCCCGACCTAGGGCCCGACCCTACCGTCGCGACCCCAAAATAACCTTGCTACCCTGATGCTGATCCAGACCCAGATTCGTAAAGGAAGACTCTAGGGAGGTTGGCCTTCCATGCCTGGGCCTCCTCACACAACTCCTTTAGCCTTTGCTGGTACCTCCCCACCTTTCTCAGCAGGTCCTCCATTTTCTCCAGGATTGTCGTGACCGACTCTTCTACCTCCCCTTAGTCCTCGTCATCCGACTCAACGATTATTGATTCTTCCTTTATTGTCCCAACCTTTAATCGCTGGTTTACCTCCTCATCCTCCCCCACGATCTCTTCGACTCTCATGGGCGGGTCCTGTCTTTCTTGCCATAACCTAAACATCGCCGGGGGCGCCGACCCTGCCGTTGCTCGCCTAATGGCTTCCTGTCTGACTCCACTTGGAGTCTTTGGGTCGATATACTTCTCAAATTTATCATATATGTCCCCATCCATGTTTGTGGAGATTAAACCAGAGAGCTCATCGCCCCGCCGCTGCTGGCAAAATCATATAGTGTGGCCCGTATTACCACAATACCAACACAAAGCATTTCGCCAATCAAAACAGGGCCGCCTGTACCCTTGGCCCCCTTCCTGGCTGCCTTGGCCACCTTGATTTAGCCCTCCTTGGCCATTCCATCCACCACCACGTCCTCTGTCGTTCCTTCCTTGGCTGCCACCTCCTCGACCTCCCTGTCCTCGACCACCATTGCCTTGCCAACCTTGTCCTTGACCTCCTCCTCCTGCCACGCTAGCCTGCGAAGCTTGCTGCGAGGTGGGAGGCTGGGCCGTGAACTGACCTTGGGTCGCCGGAAAACTTGGTGACCCTGCACTCGCCAATGGGCCCGAATATGGGACCACCTGTCCTAAGGGAGCTTGGCCTCCTCCACACGAGTTGTAGTGATTACATCCAAGCCAAGGTGCCATTTGACAACAAGGTATCCAATGTCCACATGATGATGGCGGCCTCATTCGCGAAGGCCCTGTCGACACATGTGCAGTTGTGTCGGCGGCCGATGGCGCAACAATTGCCTATGGGATCTGTCCCTTTCCAGAGCCTTGTCCTCCGAGCAGCAAGTTACGCTGCTTGCGCTGGGCTTTGGTGAGAACTTGGAACCCCGTCTCCTCCTCACCGTAGTCTTCTTGCTTGGTCTCTTCGTCCCCTACCTCCTTTCCCCGACTTTGGACTACGGTTACCACCTTTCTCTGTACCTCAGCGTCATTGCCATAGCCTAGCTCCGCAAGCACGTCCGTGACAATCCTTTTCACTCCCGGGGTTCCAGATGCAGAAGCGTCCCTCTCCTTTTTCTTCCTCCTCTGCAAGCGCATCTGACACTGCTCTACCTGGTCCAGACTCTCATCTTCTACTCCCTTATCAATGGTGGCCCAGGTGAGTTTTGCACTACCCCCTCCATGGCTCGTCAATTCTGCAGCCTCTGAAGCAGTGAGCAACCCCCAAAAAATGGTGCACTGCGCTTCTTCTGAGATCCCATGAACCTTCCTTGCCTTTTTCTTAAATTCTTGAAAAAACGTCCCTACCGTAGTGAAGTCGTCCTTGTTCATGGCTTCGAGATCTGCGGTGGTCAGCAACCCATCGCCCAGCCTATACTTGCGCTGCATGCCATCTCTAAACCTCGCCCAACTGTCATTGGCCGTATTTATGACCTTCTCGACTTCTTGATGATGACCATGAAGTACGTACTTCAGAATGCGCTGAAATTTTATCGCATCTGACAACCCCACCAACGCTTGCTCCACCAAATCCAACCAATCTGAAACCCTTTCTCCGCTGAAGTGGAAGGCATCAACCTTCAGGATATTGCTTGGCGTTTTCTCATGTCTATCAATGGCTGCAATGAGGTCCTCAAGTGTCAGGACCTTTCTTGTACCATCCACTAAGCCACCAGACTCCGGCATCTTGACCGACGCCTCTTGTCAACTTCCTGTTAAGAGAAAGGCAAAATACTCACCTATTCAGCACCATTCTCTGTAAAGATTTATGTCGTATACCCTACCTAGTTTCCCCACGATGTCTACCTAACTAGGTATGGCTGCTCCTCATAGCTTTTCTAGGTTAGGCAGGTAACCAACCAACATAGGGGATGCTAAGTTTTTCTTATTTGTACTCAATATACAGACCAACCCAGACTCTCATTTTCTTCCTATGCCTATTTCCTTTTCAGTCTCATACCCGGATGTCGTTCCACCAGGGACAACGGTAGGCTTCCGTTATCCCCGGCAACGGCGCCACCTGTCGAGCGCATCCCTCCGACACGGCAAAGGGCAGCGAGGGACCCTTTCGGCCGCGTCACTCAGGAGTTTGTCTATTTCCTCGTTGCGAATATACACATAGAGCTTCCATAAGCCGCTCTGGCCGAGTGCGCCAGCCATACCTCYCGCGAGCCCCTACGACAGGATAGGGCCTACGCGAGGCACAACTTGCCTCCACCTTACGGGAGTTGTCACCTCCCTTCGGTGGGCGTATCCCCGCCGAGCTACCAGTCCACATTACGAAAGCTAATCAATTGCAATCGCAGAGGTGGACCAGCCGATGACGTTTCTCGTTCGCTGTAGCATAGGGGGTACGAGTGGTATTACGCCTCTATCGAACCCGTACGAGAACCGACATCTTGGGGGCTAAGGTCCCAAGCGCGACTCGTCGTCGGTCGACTAGGACGTATCCCACTCACCATGCGTACACCACACTACGAAAAAAAAATAAAACACACACACACACATACATCAAACAATGCGACAACACTCCTAGTCCCTTAGTAGCCATCCCATAACTCTACGATGCTTAAATCAGATAGGTGTCACGCGCGAGACTTAGTATAAGATCGCGTGGACGCAGGACTAACTCATATCGATTCGCAACGTAAGCGTACACAAGCGGTCGCAATGATGGTGTACTATATAGTACCCATACTTATGCGGTCCTCGTTAATCTCGAGGGTCGCATTCAACACTCAAGTGTCGGCTGACACGCGCCTTGAGGGTTAATCTCTCGACACTGGACAACCTCCAAGTGCGGTTGAAAACCACACCCTCTTCTACACCCTGCGGAGAGTGGGTGGTACACAGGTTCATACCAGTGGTGGAAATCGTGTCTTATGGCCCTGGAGACCAACTCCTTCCCCTAGGGCCTGGAAACGAGTCAAGGGGTTTGACTTTGACGGTTACCACGGACTACAACGTGCAGCTATGACAACTCCGAAAAACAAAAATACGTCGAAGGCCTCCCTATCCCAAAATCACAACCTTGGGTAACCTTTTCGGTTGGCACCAACGACCTATACTGACTCTGGACACACATGTACACATACGAATCACTTGATCTCATAACTCTAAACACTAGGACGGGAGAACATCGTGCGCAAGACTTTGATATAAAGTTGTGCGGTTGCAAGCCCTTCCTACATCAACTGGCGATGCTAGTCATACGCTGCAATCGCAGTTTCGGCCTCGCGATATTGAATGGCTGAAGGAATATATCGTGAGGGGTTACCCTTCACGATATTGAACGGCCGAAGGACATGTCGTTCAGACCTCGCAATATTTCTGGCCTCAGGGTTGGGTGTCTCGACGGGCAGGGCACTTAGGTCCTGTGTGGAGGGGTAGTCCCTCCTTGCAGGGCTAAGCCATGGGGCGTCCTAGACAAGGACCTCGAATTTCAGGCCCAGGACTAAATGTCCGACTATATCAACTCAAAATGCAAAAGGAGTCTCGCTTTTTCTCTCGAAGTCAGAGGCCGGTAGGCCCCTACGTGTAGCCATAAATAGGCGGCGCCGTCACTCATAATATGTATAAATATGGGGTTGTTTATATGGGACGATCGTTTCTCATAGTCACAGTGGGGCCCCTTGTAACCATACTTGTATGTTGTCGCAGGCAGTTACATCCAAACATCCAACTCACCACACATATCTGCAATCACATGAAAAATCCCACGAAGGATTTCACACGCTACACGGGGTTAACTTCAACCCATCTCTGTACTCACACCCTTTGCTTTAACCAATCAAGCCTCACTCTTGTGCAACTCCTCAAAATAAAATACTCAGTACTTTTCTTTAAATGGTCATTCAAGTAAAGTCCGGGCGAAAACATAACAAAACAGTTCAAATCACAAGGCTAAAACCTTTAGGTTGAGTGACAAGAGTGGATTGGAGTTGAGTAAAACGACGAATCGGTAACCAACATGTTATCAGTGATAACAGAAGGTGATCCTCAAGGGATCAACCTGGATCTAGTCCAAGTCCTGAACCCAATCGATTCAGTTGGCCTGTAACACAAGACAGGTCAACGCTCAAGACAAAACTTATAAGTTCATGGAGAATAATCTCCACATCACCATCTCACTCAATTCATCTTATTTAAGTAGGCCTAAGTCTACCTCTAGGCAAGTGCCGAAAGAAAGGTAGAATCATGACAGAATCTTCCCTATCCAGGGTGGATTACCAGAATCGCCACCTATCAAAATATAATATAACTCCCCTTAAACTAAGAAAATTCCGGCAGCGCTTGCCGTAGGAAAAATGTATGTTCAGAATCTATATCAGCCTGAATATGAAAATAGAAATAGTCTTTGACTTTTTTAAGTCAAATTTTGTTGAACTTCCTTATTTAGCAAAAATTTGGCAGCACTCCCTTTAGAAAAGGAGACTTTCCAGATTTTTACTAAGCCATGTATGAAATTTAGACAAGTTGAACCTTGAAAAAACGAAATTTGACTAACTCTCTAGCTTTGCAGAAATTTCGGCAGCGCTTCCGTAGGGAAAGTGGCTTACCAAAATGTATACGAGCCCAAGTATAATAAATAATATCAGAAAATACAAAAATTGGTCTAAGTAAAAAACTAACTCAGAAAATGCAGAAATTGAAACTAACTCTTATTGCTCTAGCACGTGGCGAGTCACTAAAGCAACTACCTATCAACCTGAAACTCAAACTAAGTAGTAATCTCCCCCAGCCACATGCAGGCTAAACCACAAAGGTCAGTACTCTCACAATTCTCAAGGTTAGAACTTGTCAAACAATAGTTCATAGTCTTTCATTGATTTAACCCCTTATACCCTGCTTACATAGGGCACTGAGCTTGGTCATTCGTCTTAGAAATAATGCTAACTCTCTGCCTTACTTATACACGAACAGGTTGCACAACTACTTCTCTCTTCATTGGGCACACGACTAAGCCATTCGTCTTAGAAACGATGCTTAGTCGCCTTGATTTGTTTAAATAGTCAAGTTATATATCTCTCTCCGAACTTAATCTTCAAAAGTGAGCGTAAGACTGAGCCATTCGTCTTAGAAACAATGGTCCGCCGGACCAAGTTACCTTCAGTTATAGCTCTTAGTTATACTCTCTTGATTTGTGGTAAGGCTATAGTCAGACCATTCATCTTAGAAACAATGTCTGGCTAGCCTTGTTCTCATAAACATACAGATATAGAGTTATAAAAAAATCTTATTTTTTTGTTCTCATTATAATCCTGTGGCCTCAAACTTAGACCATTCATCTTAGAAACAATGCCTAGTCTTTGACCTTAACCTCCGTCTGAATTAAACAATCAAAAGAATTGAGCCATTCATCTTAGAAATAATGCTCAACCTATTTTCTCAGCAAAAAAAAAAAACAGATTACTCTGGGTCAAAAATCCAGAGACTGTTCAGAAACCACCCAAAATAAACAGTGACCAGACCATTCATCTTAGAAACAATGTCCGATCCTCAAATTTTGCACAGTCAATACCCCAAAGAAACAACAACCAGACCATTCATCTTAGAAACAATGCCTGGTTAAATTAAATAAACACAGCGACCAAGCCATTCATCTTAGAAATAATGCTTGGTCCTTCAGAAAATAGAACAAAACATAGCAGTCAGACCATTCATCTTAGAAAGAATGCCTGACCCTATAAGACTCATTCAAGTGCAAGCAAAACTGGCTTCCTCCCAGCCTTCCCCGTGATGCAACCCCTTTTCACAATCTGTTTTTTAGACAAACAACAAAAGTTGAAACTGAAAAATTGTGCATGCATTTTTTTACTTAAGTCTGGGTTATGTCCTGAAAGTCAAACTAAAGTCAAAGTAGGGGTGCACTCAATACACTCAGTCAGATATATAGAAAGATGTATAGGTAGGGGTTATAACTGGGTTTATAAGGGGAAACAATGGTTACCTCTGAGTTCCCTGCCTCCAGAACTCCTCCTGAGTTCCGACAGAGCTCCCGCAATCGGTGGGTTGACTCCCCACAGAGTCTTGACGAGGACCTACGGGTTGCAATCCCGTCTGCCGCCTTCCTCTCAGAACCAATAGACTAGACTTAGAGTAAGAAGGGTAGAAGAAGAAGATTAAGACTATCAGATACAAGGAGGGTGCTCTCAGACTCGCGTGAGAGGGCCTGGATATCTCTGGTCGCCTGAGGGCCCCGCAATGGTGGCCAAACGGCAACAACTTGGTCAAACCTGATTCAACCCGCTGCAGCCAACTCTCTGGCGACTTCCCAGTTCGCAGCGATAACTTCCTTGCAATTCAACCACCCTTCGCTACACCACGTCTTCACCCTGCAACAACAAGAGTAATCACCCTCCAGAGAGTTGGCACCATCAGCAGCAACCGCAGGGCATGAGGATGCCGACCCTGCAAACCGCCGATCTTTGAAGATTGCTAACCTTGCAGACTGCCACCAAGTCTAGGTATGTACCCCTTTTCTACTCCCCTTTTCTGTTGTTGTACTGTTCGCAGGTACACGTCTCCTCTCCGCAGCGCGGCTATGGTGGACTTCCTTTGCGATGACGCTCCTCCACTCCCACGACCTGCGGTGCGTGGGATAGCGGGTACCAGCTCTGGGACCAGTACAATCAGACTCCCTTTTTCACTCGCTTCATGGGCATGCGAACAAGAGATTCAGCAAACTGGCAACTAGCGACTAGCCTCAGAGCTCGAAAAATAACAACTTGGAACATAGTTCGTATACAAGTCCCCATCAGACGGCTGCGGCG